ATTTGCACTCAAAATACAAATTTATAAAAAGACTTAAATGGTTTATATTTGTTATATATATATAAGAAAATGTTTCAAATAAACAAAAAACAAGAGTAGTATATAAATCGTGCCGATTTCGTGCACCCTTTGGGAACACTCAATCTTCACGATTTCGTCGCTTCGCTCCGTTATTTAGATTTAATTATTTTAGGGTTATTATTTAAAAGTGATAATTTAATTTTTTGTAAGTCTAAAATGACAACTACTATGGAACGAATTATTAAAGCTATTAAAAAGAAATGTGTATTTATTACAGAGATAAATAATCATGAAGTTGATTTATACTATAGAGTTAAATCTAAGGAATTATTTCAAATAAAGGACGACACTGTCAAATTAATCAAACCTAGAGTTAGTAAATATAGTGACGATTGGGTTAGATATAGTATCAAAAATAATAATCATAAAGGAATGACATTTAGTAAAAAACCACTAAGGAAATATCATGATGATAGTGAAGAAATAGATGAATTTATAAGTCGATTCGTATAAACTCTTATATTATATTATATTATATATTTTTAGTATTTCTTATATTATTTCAGATGTTGTCATACTTTATAAGATTATTTCAAATTAATTATTTATAATTTTGTTTTTATAAAATAATCTCAAATGATTTAAAACAAAAAAATATGACTAATATATGCTGGGAACATATAAAAGTCTATTAAATAATTGGTTAAGAATAAGTTGTCTTCATTTAGAATTGGCTTTTTCTATTAAAGTTTCTCTTGTTTTAATATCAAATGTCTTACTAAATTCGAAACTAAATTATATATCAAGTAAGTTAAATGTATAAGATTCTCCAGCATAGAGTTTCTTATATAGTTTTATCGGATTTTTTCTATTTTCTAAAAAATTGTTTAAAATTCTTTTTATTCTTAAATGTAAAACATGTTCTTGTTTTTCATTCGTTAATACATCTATATAAGCTTTCTTACCTAAGAAGTAAGATTCTTTTGAATATACATCTCCAGATAATTCATCAAAATCTGGATGGAATTGTTTTAATTCACCTCCTCTTAATGTTTTACCATATATTTCTTTGTATTTTTGTTCTGATAATTCTATCTTATTTTTGTTTATATGCATTGAATCAGTGTTTTGATAATATATATCTATATTTTAATCTTCTGTTAAACACATAACTTCATTCATTATTCTCTTACTTATACTTAATATTTGTACACCTATTAAGTTTGGAACAAAAAAGTCATCAAATGATTTATTTGTTTTAATACAGTGCCACCAAAAGGTATGTTTTTATTGGAAGTGAATTTCATTTAAACAATGGGAAGATTTTTTAACCCAAAAAAAATCAAAATCAATTTTAAAATTACCATTTTTAATATAAGTGCCGTAATTATTTATTAATTAAAGGCAATCACTGGTAAAATATTATAAATTATAAACCTGCGAGTAGTAAATATATTATATAAATAATTATAATTAGTAGTTTTTTTTATTTTTTAAACTAAAACTAATAATAATTATTATTAATGTTAATAATTAAAAATTATAATAGATAATTAATATAATGCTTTAAAAACTAGGATATATACCTTATTTAATAATCTAATAATTTAATCAAATAAAACTATAATATATAGTTAACAATATGCTGATAATAAACCTCTGAACATTAGTAAATAATAGTTATATTATTCTTTAATAAAAATACATAAATTGAAATTATTTAATAAAAATAAATGTTTTTGTATTTATTTGCTATAAAAAATAATAAAACAATTATTATATTAATAGTTTTCTTCAATTTGTAAATTCCAAGAATAACTAATTTTCTTAAAACACGACAAGTGCCCGCAAATTTATACAATTTTAGACTGATGAAGGCGGGTTTTAATAGTAATGAAAATATTGCCATTTTTATATAAATTTATAAAACAAAACAGTAAATTTAGTGTGGTCATTACACCTTATGCCAATTTTTCATAGAAAATTATAATTAATATAAACTAGTTGTATAATTTAAAAATAAAAAACTTTTTGTTCTTTTTAATAAAAATATTGAACTTAATGAAGATTATAATTCATTTTAAATTATTTGTAATAATATTCATAAGACTTAGTTATTATAAAATAAAAAAAATCACCATCAAACAAATTCAAAATAATAAAAAAAGTAAACAAAAATGAATTTCTCTCAAAAGTTTACTCATTTTCATACGTCTCAAAAAACCTTCGTTTTTGACAATGAAAAAAATATGGTAATCATTTTAAAAAATATTACTGATGTAGTGTTTTATAAAATCAAATAGCAAATTGCAAATTATTGTAATTGATAAAATAATCTTTTGTTTATTGCTTATTTTTTTTATTTTATGGCAATTTTATTTTGGAAGAAAAAAATGTAATAACAAAATAAAAAAATAATTAATTCAAATGTTATTAAATTTAACAACAAAAAATAATTTCAAAAGCAAAAATGTGGCAGTTCAACATAATAATACATGTTTTTCTATTGTGGCAAAATAGACTCAGTGGTATAAAAACATTAATTAAAACAATAATAAAAATCTTTTATTAATAATTTATTGATATAAGCAAATATATTACTGTCTAATAATTATTATTTGACTTTATATGTTATACATTAACTAATACCCCCGGATTTTAATAATTAAAATCAACAAGTACTTTTAATTAAAGCAAACATCCATTGAAAGGAATCAACACGGTGGCTTCCAGAGTAGTTTGTTTCATTTTCGGTTGTTTGTGTTTATTGAGAACGCCAAATTGTGACTCACACCTAACTGAAGTAAAATTCATTGTCATAAATATAACTAGAAGCCCTTTAAGAAAAGGGTATTCATTCAGGAGTTCTCTAAAATCATACAAATCAACACAATCTCTTTTATTTTTGTGTTTTAACTTTTCAATGATGTCATTTTCGAAACATTTACGACTCAAACGCCGGATTTCTTCTTTGAGATACATACGACTCAATGGAATTTCAATTCGTCCTTTAAGAATGTCTTCAAAGTTGTTCCATACAAACACGTCATCTTCTATTGGGTCGATTTCTAGTTGTTTTTTTCCCAACGTCAGTTCCACACACATTGTACAACTCTTGAAATGTAGTAACAGTTCTTGATTGCTCGGAAGTTGCGATCGAAGAAAAACGAAACTTGAAGTTCGAGTTGACAACTTCAAGTGCCCGTGCGAAGAGTTTCTATACGGAAATATCAACACCTTCTCTGTTTCGTTCGTCAATTTAAACGGTGAAATATCCCTCATGTCAACTGCAGCAAAAAACATTTGAAATTTGGCCACAAGAGTTTCAACTTTTTTCCACTCTCTGGGAAGAACGTTTCTTTTGTCTGGAGTTGTTTTATAATGACGTTAAAAGGCTCAAGAATATCAATCAAAAAACACATTACAAATTTGGTTTTCTCAGATAATAGTATCTCGATGCACTCCTTAACGTTTATTTGATTATAGAAGATGGCTCTTTGATCTAGTGTTGTAAGATAATTTACCAGTTGAAGTCGAACATTCCAAAGCGAAGTTAAAACATTAAAAATTGAATTCCATCGAGTGTCACAATATTTTTTGATAGGACATTGTTTAGAATTAAGGAAATTGGAAAACCCATTATCTCTGTGACACTTATTACTTATATGTATTCATGTATTAAATATTTTTTAAATATCTTCCCAATTTACAAAATTTTTCTGTTATAAGGGAAAGCCTGTGGCACGCACAATGTATGCAAAAACAGACTATCCCCCCCTTTCTTTAATTATCTTTTTTAACTTGGTAGTGAAGCCATTTTCGTTTGCCATGCAATTTGCCGCACCATCACAAGTACAACTGATTATTTTTCCAATCTATCTCGAATTTGTCAATGATGTTAACAACATAATTAAATATATTATCTGCACTTGAAGCTTCTTCGATTTCGAACAGTTCAACAATATATTCTTGAATATCTAAATTTTCATTAACACGTGTTAAAATCAATACATACTCCTTCCTTCCATTAATTTTAGTCTCGTCTATTTGTATTCCAACTCCAAGAGATTTTTTAGCGGCTTCACCAACCATCGTCTTCATTTTGGTATTAATACCATCCCTAATCAAATTTAATGTATTGTAAGTCATGTGAAGATGGGATCTAAACGTTGCCCCCACTTTCTTGCGAGTTTAAAATAAGTATCACAAATGTCAAGAATTGTTGTAATTTTTGTGTGACTTATATGTGCTATGCTCATTTTAGTGACCGTGTACTCTCTGAATTTAATAGCATCATCTTTGATGCTACTCTTATCCTCTTCGATTATTTGAGGTTCTTCCTTTTTGGTTGTTATTCTGGGATTGAGTAAGTAAGCTCTCGCCACAATTTCACGAATCTTGTCTCTCATGTCTTTATGACAGTTATCATAGTGGCGCGTCGCTTCATTATGAGAAATCTTTTCGTTACATACTAGGCACCAAAAATTCCTTTTTCCCAAAAGAATCAACAGTCTTTTTGTAATCCAATCTTCATTTGTTTTAATTACATCTGAAGGCATTGTTAATTATAGTTTTTTGTTTATTTTTTATTGATATTTGTTTTTTACAACAGAGTAATTAATCTAAAGATTCTTTATATATAAGATTATCAATTGATTTTACTATTATCTATGATTGTTTTTACTATTTTAATAATTAAAATTAAAATATTGTTTATCATTTTGTGCTTTAATTTGAACCAAACTAAAATAATAAACTTTTTACCAACTTGTATTATATTTTTTTGCAATGAAAAATTACTTTATATTTTCATAATAAACGATAATGCTGTTGTGAATTTCAAATGTTTCGATTGTGGCAAGTATTGTTATATCCAGTTCACTGTTTTCAAATGACAGATTAACACCAATTCAAAGAGTTAATTTTATCTGAGTAATTCACTGTGTGTCGATTAATTGTGGTAATGTTTGCATAATTCACACAAATCGCTGATGAGCACCATGTAAGTTTTTCATGTTCCATTAATTATAAAAACGATCAATTGGAGTAAAATAATTAAATTTGTTGAATAAAATGATAATTCAATTAAACAATTAAAATGATAATTGCCGAAGTAATTTCCAAATTTTATATTTTTGTGTTGGTGAAATAATGAAAAATGTGTCATTTATAATATTATTATATTTTTAAAAACCACTAAGTATAAAATATAACAAATTTTATTTTCATTTTTGTTTTTTTAATATTTTTGTTTATAATGACAGTAACGACTGTATGGTAAATATTCAAACACATAAAGAAAAAATATCACCACACTCAATTATAAACACAAATGTTTTATTATGTTTCATCTAAATTATTTTTAATTATTTTTGTCCAAAAAAAGAATAAAATTTGTTTAACTGGCTGATTTTTTCTTTTTGTAAAAAAATAATTAGATTCGGACCTAACCCCGGGTAAATTGAGACGTATGCTCATTTTGAAAACTCCATCTACAAAAAAATACAACATAGATTTCACAAGTAATAAGAAAATGCATAGTGTCAAAAATACGGTAGTGATAAAAATAGAGAAGAAATTATTATTGAAACAGACTTAAGTACAGATCTTGGTGGAAGTAGCAAATACTTAGAAGAGGAAAAAACATCTAAGAACTGAAGAGGAGAAAGGTTCCTAGACAACATTAATTGGAATAGGGTGAATAGATCCTTAAAGACGGGTGTAGATTTAGTAGAAGAAACTGAGCTTGAAAAAGAGTTTACGCATGAAAGGGAAAAAAGACTAAAAGTTCTTTATCAATAGTCAAAAAGTCACGAAAAAAGGACTGAGAAAGTGGTAACAGGGGATGAACTTTGGTATGGGGTATGACGGTAGCGACAAGAGATCTCTTTTCTTGTTAACACGGAGGAACGGGCATTGAAATGAATCCATCAGAGGTATGACTGTTATACCCATGGAAGAAACGGAGCGGTTTCACATTCTTCAAACAACTATTTCAAAATTTTATGAAATGAACCAAAAAATACAAATATGATAAGAACAAGAAGTTGTGCATAATTAATTGACTTGTTATAATATTTTTGTTTGCTAAACATTGCAAAGAAGTCTAAAAGAATAAAAAAATATGAAAAAAGTAATCTTTAATGTTTTTGAACTTTTTTACATTTTTTATTGTTCATTTTTATGTTGCTATTTTTGCCTTCTTTATTTTTGTAGCTGAAGTTATATATTTATCGTTGAAGGTTTGTCGAATAACATTTCTATAAACCTTATAATGTTATTTGTTTATTTGAATTAATTTTTTCCCACCATTGCATTTGAAATTTTAATGGGTTGGAACAAAATTTTTAAAATTTACTTCCAATAAATTTTTTTAGTAGCACTGTTTAAAACATCTAATATTATCTGATATGTCATACATAGATTTAACTAATGTGAAGTTCTTTTTAAGATATCTATCTGATTCACATTTACCTTTATTATTGATATATTTGTAAATCAAGTCATTTTTAATTAGTTTTTGAATTGTTTTTCCATTTAAACTATTCATCAATAATTTATAATTTTTTTAAAATGGATAACCCTTCTTTTTAAGTTGAGATCTTAAATTGTATATCTTTTCAATCTCTTTACTAAACACATTAGATTTACAACCAGTCCAATAATAACCTCTAATAATATTAAACTCTATTTGTTGAAATTTAATTATATCTTCAAGCATAACATTATTTACTCTTATTGTACAACATTCATTAACATTATGATTACCTTTATTATCTTTCTTAGTTATATTTGGGAAGTGTAAATGTTTGTTAACCTTGGTTATTTCTATATCTACAATAAATGCTGATATATAACGTTCATTTGTTGGTTCTAATTGTTGTTCTAACATTAAGTGATTTAATATAGTTTTATTACAGGTTTCTTGTGGGATTACTATAGGTTTTCCAGTTGCTAATTTTAACCTATGTATAGCGCTAGGATATAATGAACATGCGTCATAATCATATAAATCTTTAATAACATGTTGTTTAGTATTATCTCTACACATATTTCTACCTCCATATACAGCACCTTATATAAATTCTCTAACTTTACCAGAATATTGCATTAAATTTGGAATTTGTGTGTAAACATGTAATTTGAAATAGTGATTAGCTAAAGCGAATATACTAATAAAGTTGTCAACATCTATATTTAAACTTTTCAAATTATTAATTCGAAAATTAATATGACCTTCTTTTACTATTCTAACGTTTTGACAACAGTAGAATTTACAATATAATCTCATATCGAACTTGTCGTTATTTCCTTGGCAATTATCAATTTTAGATATATTCTCTTTAAATAATTCATATTGTTTTTTATTCCATTTTTGAGATTCATATTCACCAGCTTCTGAAATTATTCCAATATTATTTTGAATTCTATCTCCGACATAGTAATTATAAATATATAACTCTTTTTGAATATTAGATAAACCAAACATTTTAAGAAAATCTGATAACTTATTTGAAATCATTGAATAACTATCTTTTAAAACAATTCTTTTTTTCGTGATAATTTAGTTTCATTTTCATAGTTTTTCCATCTTTCTTAATACATGTCTCAATTCCATATTTTGCTAAGAAACACGAATCATATTTCAAATTATGAAAGTAAACAATGGAATTATTATTTAAATCAGATAAGAAGTCTTCTACACACACAACACCATATTTACATGAAATTTGAGATAAATATCATCTAGAATAAGCAACACTATATGCTTTATGAATTCCTTGTAAACTAGCTCCGTAATCAGCATAGAAATAAGTATACTTTTTACATTTAAAGTTATTTTTCGTTCCGTAGTTTTTTCCATTGTTGTTGGTTTTACTTCAAAAACTAGATTATCCAATGATTCAATTGTTTGTTTGACATAATCAGATAAATCAGATGGTAAATGAAGCACATCGCTAAGTAAATATGGTTTAAAACCGTTATTATCTCTAATATATAAAATAAGTTCAGATAATTTTATACTGGATTTAGCTCCTAGTTTGGTTAAAAATAAATTTCCTTTTTTCTTTGTTTATGAAACATGGATTCAACTGGTTTGTTGTGATCTAATGCCCATTTATTCATATAAACTATATTTTTAAGATAAAACGGAGTAATAGGAATATCAATATCTAAGAAATAATGATCACATTTCACATTAACATCTTTGAATAAATACATACTAATTTCAGTAGCCTTTTCATTATCTGATCCTATATATTTCATTATTGTATTAGCATGATCTTTACGCTTTAATTCTTCAAGTTTTATTTGAATTCTAATATTACATGATTTGAAACTTCATCTATCAATTTAATTTTCTGATATCTTGAATAACAATGAACACGGTATAAATCAATAATTTTCTCATCTATTTTAGCTTGTTGTAACGCATATATTAAACAATTATTATTTAATTCATGTCTAATTTTGTTTTCAACACTAAGAGAATCAAATAATTGTGCTATTTTTAATTATTTAAATAAACATTTATATTCTTCAGTATAATAATAAGCAAAGAATGCTGCACCATTATTTCGATATTCATTAATTTCGTTTTTATAATCATATTCTTCAATTATTAATTCTGTAATAAATAAAAGTTTTGGTATAGGGGGTCTATAAACTGTTTTGGGAATTTATTATAAACTTTTAAAAGAAAAAACAATATTGACATGTATTTTGGAAAAGAAAAACCCTGCTCTGCAGTTTTGGGAAGTATAAAACATGGTAATTTCTATTTTTGTTTTTGTTGTTTTGAAATTTCGAAATTAATAAAAACCCCTTGAAACCAAAGAACAACCAATGAATATTAACAAATCATTTATATTTTTGTGGATAAAATAAATTATTTCTGAAGAGAATCTCATTCTCTCTTTTATCATATAACACACATTTAAACATTTTGTTCACACTACACAAAAAGTGGTCAACGACCGTGGCAAATTACATTATCTCGCTCTCACACACATTATATATTATATTTTTATCACAACCTCTCCCCGCATATTATAAATATCGTAATGAATTACTGTTTTGAGTTCAAAATATTTTCTTTTATAGTCCAAAATTCGATTTTTTAAATCTGTTGACTTTTTAATCCATTCTTATTTTATGAAATTTTATTATATTTAAAATTTGAATAGAAACGTAACACATATACCCAAAATGTATTTCAATAAAATTATTGAAATTCATTTTACTCTATATTTTGATGATAAAAAAAGGAAATAAGATTGTTTTTATTTTTTAGTGTTAAAATGATTTTTTTGTTTCTAAAAATAATAAAAATAATGACGATTTTGTGGATAAAAAATAATAGATAGATTTTATAAATTTCAAAATAATAATGAAATCATACACTTTTTTGTTTCAATTTAACAATAGAAATTAATATTTTTTAATATAACCAATTTAAAATATATAAATTTTGAATATCTTAAATAATAATTGCATTTTTTTACCTCTAATTGAAAACAATAACAAATTAATGATAAGAGTTTAGTAAAGAAAAAAA